TCCACAGATAGAGCAAGGTGTTTGTTGCGGTAGCAGATTTGGCTAAAACTAAAGTTGTTGACGTCTACACTTACTCGCACCTTATGTGCGTTTTTCTAATCTACTATGTTCGGCATTAGCGCTCGTACACTTTGGAAATGACGAAAAGGAAAGAATTCCTAGGAGGACCAATGTTTGTATCTCCAGTTGATTTTGATTTCAAGTTCTTTGGGATATCAGGAACATGACCAGATGGCAGGTTAATAGTGGTACATATTCACAATACACCCATGCTACACATATCGAAATTTCGCATGATTAGATCCAGTAGGAAAGAAGTTATCACTGAAAAGTACGGCTGAGAAACCATTTCACCAAAGACTTTTGAGCGCTACTGTATATGTTATTTCAAATAAAACCACATAAATGATGAGTATTCGCATGCTCCCAGCTGTTTTATGAACCGAAGACCACAATATGTTGATTAAGTCACTGCACTTGTGCAGCTATACAATTAATTAAGGAATCATATGTAGAGAAAACTGCTTTTACAAAAAAACGACGCTCTGCTGTTATCCTATTCAGCAAAAAATGGATTTATGACTGGTTTTTCTTTCCAAGTTCAAAGCGTGAGTCATTCTAACCTGTTATATCTAAAACAATTCGATCAAGTAGAATTATTAATCAGCTGTTATAGAGATACCCCGCGACTCACGCTCGTTGAACCAGATCGCGACGGGCCCTCCATTCCATTGGCATGCGCTTGTAAGGGTGGTTGCTGTGGTGTTGTGACTCAATAGTTTGTAAGGCACCCTTTATATAGTGGCGATTTCATAGAAAGAGCTTCAAACGACAGATTGAGATAAACCAGCGCCAGGCAAGCTTTCACATGAAAGAAATGGAGTAATCTACCGCACATTACCCGTCTAATGACGCTCGCGACTTCGATGTAGCCGCTATGGTCAGCACATGACACTTCCATTTTCCTTCATTGTTTTTAATGTATGTACTTCAGTTGGTTTCTCAAGCTTATACTCATGGGTCCGTCGCAAGCACAGACTACGCCTATGGTAGCTGACGTTCATCGTCGCTGAGAAAACTTGCGGCTTCAGCACAAGCAGAGCTACGCGACGAGCATTCACTATGGCGTAACGAGGCAACTTAGAAGGATATGAAGCTTCTAGTGAAAGTATAGCCACAGATAAGCATACCTTAGAGTCGACTTGATCTCCCATTTGCATAGTTTTCAGTGGCAAGCCGAGCTCTTTGGCCGCGTGTGACGCCAGGAATGTTTTTCCGCAGCCCATGGGACCCTAAGATGAAAGCAAATGTTATAAATGCAGAACTTTCTGCTTAAAAGTTTTCAACGCACTTCGACAATTACGAAGTGCTTCCCACGCAGAGCAACAATAAGCTGGTTCGCCGCCGATTGTCGTGTTGGTAGAAGCATAGCCCCTGAAGATAGAATGAACAATACTTTATACAATAACATTTACAGCATAGATAATAATGCAAGGTGAATTGCTTGTGATGAACGATTCTCATTTCCAAATCCCATAAAATCCAGAAAACTAGTGATGTTACTTTCAATTCTCTTGAAGTTTTACGTCAATAACAATTCAGACTCAGGGAGAAGAATTGCTCTTATCCTCACCTGTGTGATCAGTACCGCCTTCTTTCTTGTCACCATTCTCAATGATCACGACTTCATTGTCACAACCAAGTTTCCGCCGATGTAAGGGAATTTCTATGATATCTCGGCTAGAATCCTCCGCCTTTCTCTTCTTCAACCTCTTCTTGCTTCTTCTATTCATTCCTGTGCATGAAAAAAGGTGTCATAAAAATCTGAACATCGCACTTGATAAATGTAGCGCTTGAAAGTTTGATAAGCTAACAGTCATCATTAGATCAGGACAGAGAAACTGCAGCAGAAAATGGACTGATGCCAAATACGCAAATGAAAAGCAACTAAGACTGCGGAAGTGAAGAACACGAAGGCGATTCTCATATCTAAGCAGTTAACATACCTTGCTGTAAAACGTGGACCGCTGCTAAACTTTGCTAAGCTCTGCAATTTCAAATACTTTCCCGCGCGTGGAACTTTGATTTGTTCTGATTGCACAAGATTGGTTGTGCTGCGGTTGCACGCCTTGAAGAGGTACTGATAAATTGGGTAGACTGGCCATCAGAGAACAACAAGGTCACCCAGGTCTTTGGAGTATGAACAGGCTGAAGGCTCGAAGTGGTTAGCTGCGACGTCTTGGAAGTTATTGCGGCGTTTTGGAGGTTGGGTGCGCTGATTTTTAGCATTTTAAATGAGTGAATTCCCTATGTAAGTGTGTATAAGTCAGTGGTTTTATTCTTGCAAACGAGAGGATGCCCTTGGGGTGGGAAACTCAGCCGTTTCTCCCAAGATCAAGATCGTTCTTCAGTATTTTATTGTAGTCTATTTCGATTTACAGATATCTTGATAAAGCTTGATAAAGCTCTCCCAAACCACACCCAGTTTAGATAGCACCGGTATAATGGGGGAGAGGGAGAGAGAGAGGGGATGGAAGGGAGCGGGGGAGCACACATAGCAGGTTAGTATAACAAGAAATCAAAACGGTAAAACGGTATTATACTATCACTGATCGGAGACGGAGAGAAGGATGGGCACCGGGGAGAACGTCCGTTGCGCGCGTCCGTCGAAGTAAGTCAACCCGCCCACTTTGCGCGCGGCGCATCCCATTGAGGTCTCGAGAAGACAATTCTGTACCACCAAGAGTCGATGGAGCGAAGATTTGCATTTGTCCGTGTTATCCTCTATTTGGCTGACTGCCGTGGGGGGGGGGGGGGGGGGGGGGGGGGGGNGGGGGGGGGGGGGGGCGCGATTCACGCGTGACCCCATTATAGCTCTTCGCGCACGCAGCATCGTTTCAGTACCTTCCTGTTGAGATGGATCAAATAAATTTGCAGTAGTCCACGGCTTCACCATGAATAGAGCAAATCTCTTTATAATAACAAAAAAGCCCCTTCGAGATTATGAATTCACCTTATAGGTAACAATTTGCTTGTCAACGTTTAAAACAACAACAACTTCTTTTTTTTGATCCTAGAAAACGCAATCCTTCTGTAAACGTACATAGTTGGTCATTTCTTTACTTATGCTACTTATATGTTCTTATTTCTTCCATTAGGCAGGCATGATGTTTCAGCGTGTTTTGTGCGATGACCTCATTATATTGACGCGTGAATCGCACCACACCCACTGTCGTGGACCAAGCGCAATTCGAATCCCTCGCTGACAACTGCGACGTTTGTCAAAGGTCGCGGGCTGACCCGCCGCGTGCGACGGCTGCGTAACCTAGTTTTGAAGGACGCGCGCAACGAAACGCACCCGAGCACCAGCTATATTCCTTATGCGCTCTTATGGGATTTTAGCCAGGCGGAAGCCTCAGGAGGGTGAGAGCGCCGGAGTGGCTGAGATGGTCTCCTCGTACGAAACGGTGAAAACTCGCCCACACCGGTCCTTTCTCCTCCTAAGGCTCATTCTTAGTTAAAAAATAGCAGTCCGTGGTGTAACCAGGATGATACTTTAGAACCATGTTGCCTCCTTGATATTTCTCTAATCGTCCCCGAACCATTATTTAGTGATCGCATTACCCCTTCTCCTCCCTTGTTGGAAGCTCGTTTACTCAGTCTCATCCGTGAGGTGATACTAGCCAAGAGACTGATTAAATATCATCCTTAGCCGATACTGAACTCCTAATTCGTCGTGCATTCAAAACATGTGAGGACGAAAGCTATGATGCAACCCACTGTCACAACAGAAGGGTCTGCTTTCATATCAGTAAGTTGGATGGCGTCGTCAGTGAAAAGGTAGTAGAGTTGATGATAGAAGAGCGAGACGGTTATACAGTTCTCGCCCATGTTAACGTTGTGCGAGGGTCCACAGAACGTCATATAAAACCTAGCGATGTCGAGACAACAGTGATGGCCTCATTTTGTCATTGTTCCCACACCAAATGGTCAAGCCAGTGCACAACATTGGTCCGATGGCGATCAAGACCTTCACAGCAGTTTCAAGCTCGCCGACAGTGGCGTAGCTCATCACTACCGGTGATTCTCCGAATACAAAGTATACCGGCCTGCCCCGGAACTACGTACGCTTGATTTTGTATTTCCGGCAGCAAAGGTAAATTTTCGGTGTTCCGTTTCTTATCAAGAAACAGAGTTTCTCGCTCTTCCACTTGCTCCACGGTCGGTACCACTCGATTTCCCTTATCATATAATATTAAGCATTACCTAAAGTATAGGTTGATGCATAATTATTGCGGATTTTTTCGCGGCTACTTTTCTCTCCATACAATTTCAATAACGAAGTCGGGATTTTTATAGAAATAATCTACTCGCTTTCCTCAATAGAAATATGTCTTGAAAGTCATCTTCTTGCTCGAAACATTATGCTCTATTACTTCGAGAAATGATGGAATGTGGCACACTCATTACGCTGTCTCAACAAACTTTTTGTCGATGGGATTGTCAGCCAAAGCCAATTGAGGACTGGGATTTGCTCCTAAATCTCCTTATTGACCCACAGAAACTTTTATAAGTTTTCACAACACCCGTTCGTTGAAATATTGGCTAGCAAGTAGGCCTTACGACGAAGTGGATGACTTGGTGGCCGATGTCGAGGTGAAGATCGCTTGAAAAGAGCAAAACTCTTCGCCTGCGAAATCCGGCTGCGTAGCAAATGGAAAGCAGTGCTTGAAGTAGATGGTGAATACGATCCTGAGTAATTATTTGAACATGAATTTGTATCTTTCTTTTAATTAAAATTTGCTGAAAAGAACCCGCAATAATTATGCATCACCCCGAAAGATGCGACGATGTTTTTTCTATCAGTCGAACGCCAAGCGTTATGACAAATCCATGTTTCTTTGTCAAATCATCATTCATATTGAAATTTTCAGTCAAATGCTTCCACTCACGACTAGTGAATCCCAGTGAGACACATGCCGTTTTTCCCCTTAAAGCTTGCAAGCTTATGACACAATATTATCTCTGCAAATATGGCAACATATCTCAATTAGACAACATATGTTCCATTTCTCATACTTAGGTCATAAAAGGACTTTCACGGGAAATTCGGGCAACAGCGTAGCTCGGGATAACCCTCGTTGTGCTCACCGAGCATTCGGTTTCCGTTTTTGGCATGTTTCGGCTGCCTCGCAGCCGACAGCCCATCTTGTCTTGGCCACGTCCTGCTAAACCTCAGGTTCGCGCGGCCGCACAGTGAAGGGATACCTCCCACATTACGGGTAGCCCTTTGCATCAAGCGGCATCCTTCAAAAAAACAAAAGTCGAGAAAATCCTTCTGTTACCGAATTTCACACCTTGAGGATATTATGTCTTTTTGCACAAATTCGCAGCAGGCAATAGGTGACCTCCTCGCCTGTCCGGTACTTCAGAAAATCTATCACTGACCTCACACCATTCCCAACATGGAGAGGTCTCCACCCATTGCCGAGTTGCGCGCACCAGGTGGGGGTCTGACGTCATTCTAGAGACCAAGAACTTTCTACAGTCTGGCCTGGTAGTCGCGACCTTCACTGCATCATCTTGAACTTCGACGTCGTCGAGGTCCTCGCCGGTTGTGGTGGTTGTAGTAGGTGCGTATGAAAGACTTCGTTTGGGTATACGACGCTTAACCGTCTGTTTGGGCTACTTTCCGCTGTCCACAACGCAGCGAGGCAACCCCTTCATAAAGCTGTCTTAGATTAAAATTGCGCATCTTTTCCCCTTCTTTTCCCCTTCCCCTGGTGACCCCAATCAATCTTTATGAGCCAATTTTGAGTATTGTTCTTTCACTGTCAATTTTTCGTAGTCTCCTCAGCCCGTGCGGCCCTTGAGGGCTGTCCCTAAACTGACGCTCGCGCCTAGTGTACGTTCCTTTCTTCGGAATGTGTTCCATGTAGAATAGTTTTGGCATCCTCTCGAGGGAAAGTATGAGGCTCTGTGTCTACAAACCTACTATCTGTATAGAATCTCTCGAGCTCCTGGCTTTCAAAGTACGCCATACACTTTCCGCGCATCCCCATGAATACACTCCTTCTTTNTTTCGTTGGACGTTACCCGGCGCTGGACCGAGCGTGGCTCGAACAAGAAGAATGTTTTGACCACTACACTGGTGAGGAAAAACGAGACGAGGTTCGTAACCTCGGATTTCTCTCCGATATATATGCTAGAACATTCAGAGTTGTTTTTTCATTATAAACCAGTTGGGCTACGCATGCTTCTGCATGCAATGTATGTCCACGACCGCTCATCTGTAGGCTTAAAACTTCTGCAGGTACTTTATCAGGTGATGTCGATTTTCCGTGCAAACAGACAGAAAGACAGACGCGGGCGCTTTATATATAGTAAGAATTTATTTGTTTCGTAAAACGGTGGTAAAACAAAGCCCACTTTGAATACCTACTCCTTCTTTCGCAGAGCAATCCTTCTAGCGTCACGAGTTTATTCGTCATTGATTCATTTCTTTACCTCTTGCGCTTGTTATTTTGCTTTGTGTACATACTGATTGGTTTCATTGGTCCTTGCCTATAGGATTTCTGCACATGCTTCGATTTTATTGTCTTAGCCGGGGTGGCTGGGGAGGGTTTCAACTTCCCATGGAACTTTTGCTGGGACCTGGTATATTTATAGAGTCTGGAACGCTCAATACAAATATAGGAACTAAAACTACGAATGAGTCTGGCAAAAAAATTGTGGAGCCATTAAAGTTTGCATGCTCAAAGCTTGTAGTGATAGTGCCGACTGGAAAGCACAG